AATAAGCTTAAATCTTTCTGCACTTCTTTGAAATATGTATTTATTGTTGAACTTTGCCTATAGTTATAAAATTGACAATTTTGCTCTTCAACAAATCCTGAAATCTACAATTTGTATGCTAATGAAAACACAATAAATACAAAACTCGTGCAACGTACGTGACAAAGACTAGTTGTGTGTAAATTTGTTAATTCACAATATGTTCTTATGCTGATTGCTATATATATTTATTCTCATTGGTATTTGTAGGTCAATTAGATAGAAAGCGTTACGTCGATTATTGCTTGATGTCCACAATCCAATTGAAAATTTTGATATTATATTGCAAGCAGAGACTTCAAGTAGTGTTACGTTATTTTACTTAAATATTGTTATAGAAAGAACAATTCACTTGCCTTGTATGATAGCTATGATTGGGGCGCTAAGGAGCACAATGTTCAAGTCAGGACTCATATCCGATCATTTACCAAAGGTGGTGGTTTGAATACAGTTTGTGATAAAAGGTAACTTTTTGAGTTTTAAAATTGAAATGGGGTCACATGCATCTCAAATTTATTTTAGAATTTACTTTCTTGTCTTTTTATCAAATTAAGTTTTACTCTTACATATCATATATTATTTTTTGCAAGAAAATTTTAATTAGAAGTTGCATAAACAGACAATACGATAATTCTAACACGTGACGGAAATACTTGAGCTAAGTAATAAGACTTAACGCGATTACAATATTAGACAAGTAATATTTACATTTGTAAACAATATAAAGTCTCATGCACGTCGTCATTGAGACTCTAAATTTTCATTTTCACAAGAAGTAATTAACATTTACAATTGCAAAAAAGGAGAAAAATATAAATTAAAAAGGAGGGCAGAAATTTTTATATACAAAGAGGAAATTAGCACAAATTGCATGGAGTTAGACAGCTATCTAGCCTTAGAGCGATACGATCTGCCTTTTATCATCAACTTGCTTGTGAGCGTGAGTTTTTAGACTTTGAGACTGAAAGAAAAGCCAACCATAGTGATTTGAAAGTCCCGTGTGGAAGGACTCACACTCAACCCCTTGTCATCGTTCATATGAATTCTTCTATTCTCCTCCAATTGAAATCATCACCACCATCACCATCATTATCTTCGCTATCTGCATCATACTCGCAATATTGATGATCATAACGCAAATAATCAACTCCGTTTTTGGCGCCACGATTGTTATGATCGTGATCTCCACCAGCTTGATACTTATTATCAAGATCACATACGAGGAGTGAGATGCGTGTACGATTCAAACAATGGAGTCGAAATTGTTAAGACTTGATCTTCCATCTTAAAAAACCAACATTATTAAGGGGAGTAACTCAAACCTTTATAAGAACTTGTTTGAACCACATTATTTAAAAATATATATATATACATTCTTCAACAGCGATTTGACATAATTTTAATCACACATTCTTCAATAAAATAATATTACACGTAAATCTAAAATTTTTTCTTATTTTTTAACCATACATTTTCCAATTGATTTGACACGAATAATGCATTTTTTTTCCAGAATGTGACTCAAACATGGGCTAAATTGGTCTATGTTTTCATCTTATTCGATGTGGGATTATATCCCTTAACAGAAATAAACTCGAACTTGGAAAACTTGAAAGCTGATCACTGCATAAATAAGATTCAGAATCCACAAACAAAACAGCTACACCAGTAATTATAAACGTTAACAGAATTATCACCAAAATAAGTAAATAAGTAGGCTTTGTTGTAGTGAAAAACTGAGAAATGTTGAAGTTTTGACGCTGGAAAACTGATAATAATTTGGAAAAAAATGAGAAATTTTTTCTTGTGATCAGATTAAGGAAAATAAACATTGGTTCAACTCCCCTAATTATCTTCATCCGCTACTTGTTTAATTAATTTGAATGAAATTTCTGTGAACATTTTTGCTATAAGTTACATTATATGTAGAATTCTAATGTTGAAATGGTCTCTATGTAGCAAGTTCAATTGTACAAGTCACTCAGAAAGTCTACTTAGTTTAACAGCAGAAAATAGGTGACCGGTGTCGTTTAAATCCCTTTGGGAGCTGTTGCAGGTACAGGAGTCTGTTTTACAAACTCATAACAGATAGCACACATGCATGGGTCTTAGCGTAATTTTTTTTTTTTTTCATGTAGGGCCACCCTTACAGTGAAGGGTCGGTAAGACACCTGTAGGAAATGTCTTGTACAAGGGCATTTTCCAATCCCTTTTAAGCCACGTTATCTAAAAACTCTTCTTCTTCTTCTTTCCTTTTTTTCCAAAACTAATTTTCAATCATATTTTCTTATTAAAATAATTTTACACGTAAATCCAATTTTCCCCCCTAATTTTTAACCAAATGTTCTCCATAAAAATCATTATTACAAAACTTATTTTCAAAATAATAAGACTCAATACACACATCATCTTACGAACGTTCAAAATTATGGAGGCGTTATTTTGTATGTGCATATACAAAAGACTAAGACATGAAACAAGAGAGATTTGATCTTAATATCAAAATTGAATCTTTAAAATCCTTAATCCCACTTGTACGCATAGTTATGAAACGATCAATGCACAAGATTACCTGATCAATGATTCGAAAGTCGCTTGTTAAAAATTCTTCAAATGGTACTAAGCTAATGTTTGACAACCATTAAAATAAATTTTTTTTTTTTAAAAAAAACTAATTTTTAATTACATTCTCACAATAAAATATTCTACATGTAAATCCAAAAATTTTCCCTACATTCTAATTACATTCTCTAAAAATTCACCATTCCAAAAATTTCATTTTAACGGTTGTCAAACAAAGGCTAAATTTGTCCTTTTCAAAAACATGAATTTTTTTCTGGATTCTTTTGTCTTGAAATAAAGTAGAAGTGTTTTCAAATGTTCAATTTTCGTGAAAATAAATGAACTTACCATTCAATTTATGTATTGTAATTGACAAAGTCAAGTAGTAAAACATGCTCCAATATGATGCTAATAATAAAAATAGGTGTCTTATTATTGTAAGTTTCTAATCGAAACTTGCTGTCAAGTTTAATCCATACACAAGTCAGTCAACTATCATTTTCTTTCCTACTTAATTTTAGTAATCAATAGATGCACACTTCTATATGTTTCTCCTTTTATATTTAGACCCCGTTTGTTTTCCATTTTGGTGAGAATGAGAATAAAAAATATAACCGTTATGAACCTCACATAAGATATAAAAATTCAAATTTGATGACTTGATGTGATAAATAACGGTCACATTTTTCATTTTAACGAGGAAAGAATGGGAAACAAACAGAGGCTTAATGTGACAGAGAAAAACATTTTTATAATGTATAAAGCACGTTTACAGAACTTTTTTAAGTTATTTTACAAACAAAAAACTTGCTTACTACAAAGTTTAAGCTAGCTCATCTATAAGAAGTCACTCAGAAAGTCTACTTAGTTTAACAGCAGAAAATAGGTGACTGGTGTCGTTTAAATCCCTTTGGGAGCTGTTGCAGGTACAGGAGTCTATTTTATAGACCCATGACAGATAACACACATGCACGGACTTTAGCATAATTTTATTTTATTTTTATTTTTTTCATGTAGGGTCACCCCTACAGTGAGAGGTCGGTAAGACACCTATAGGAAATGTCTTGTACACAGGGCATTTTCCAATCCCTTTTAAGCCACGTTATTTAAAAACTCTTATTCTTTTTTCCTTTTTTTCCAAAACTCATTTTCAATCATATTTTCTCATTAAAATAATTTTGCACGTAAATCCAATTTTCCCCCCTAATTTTTAACCAAATGTTCTCCAGAAAAATCACTATTACAAAACTCATTTTCAAAATAATAAGACTCAATACACACATCATCTTACGAACGTTCAAAATTATGGGGACGTTATTTTGTATGTGCATATACAAAAGACTAAGACATGATACAAAAGAGATTTGATCTTAATATCAAAATTGAATCTTTAAGATCCTTAATCCCACTTGTACGCATAGTTATGAAACGATCAATGCACAAGATTACCTGATCAATGATTCGAAAGTCGCTTGTTAAAAATTCTTCAAATGGTACTAAGCTAATGTTTGACAACCATTAAAATAAATTTTTTTTTTTAAAAAAAAACTAATTTTTAATTACATTCTCACAATAAAATATTCTACATGTAAATCCAAAAACATTCTAATTACATTCTAATTACATTCTCTAAAAATTCACTATTCCAAAAATTTCATTTTAACGGTTGTCAAACAAAGGCTAAATTTGTCCTTTTCAAAAACATGAATTTTTTTCTGGATTCTTTTGTCTTGAAATAAAGTAGAAGTGTTTTCAAATGTTCAATTTTCGTGAAAATAAATGAACTTACCATTCAATTTATGTATTGTAATTGACAAAGTCAAGTAGTAAAACATGCTCCAATATGATGCTAATAATAAAAATAGGTGTCTTATTATTGTAAGTTTCTAATCGAAACTTGCTGTCAAGTTTAATCCATACACAAGTCAGTCAACTATCATTTTCTTTCCTACTTAATTTTAGTAATCAATAGATGCACACTTCTATATGTTTTTCCTTTTATATTTAGACCGTTTGTTTTCCATTTTGGTGAGAATGAGAATAAAAAATATAACCGTTATGAACCTCACATAAGATATAAAAATTCAAATTTGATGACTTGATGTGATAAATAACGGTCACATTTTTCATTTTAACGAGGAAAGAATGGGAAACAAACAGAGGCTTAATGTGACAGAGAAAAACATTTTTATAATGTATAAAGCACGTTTACAGAACTTTTTTAAGTTATTTTACAAACAAAAAACTTGCTTACTACAAAGTTTAAGCTAGCTCATCTATAACAGGGAATTGCATCAAGAAAGCCAAGTGACAGTCATGACTTATAAAAGGTCAAATCCGAGTCAAATCCGAGACAAGCTGCTGCAAGTTTAGCAGATTGAGCACATAATTCTAAATCATAAGGGCACAACAGGTAAAAATGTTAAATTGAACCATCTCTTAGCTGGTCTCTCCAGATGCATTATAGTATAAAAAGCAGTGATGTTCAATCCCCATGAGTTTATTGAGAAACGCATTTAACATTATAAATCCAAATAGATTTACTTTGTCAAAAGAAAGAACATATTAATGTATGTTACTTGGAGTTGGTCGATAATCAGGGCGGTTCGAACCAGCAGTGAATGCTGTACAGATTCTACACAATAAGTTCATCTTCCAGAAAACCGTATTCAAATGTGAAATCAGTCCTGATTCTCTGGCACCTGAGAAAAGCAAAGACAGAAGTAACTGAATATCCGGAAAGGATAATTTTCTCAAAAAAGATTAGAATTACGTCCGCCATATAAATTACTCTCACTTGTTGATGCACACAAACACAGCAAAAGAAACCATTTTAATACAGTTTAGGAGTAAATTCTCAGTTATGTAGAGCTAGTTGTAATGACACAGTGACAGGACAAAGAGCCTTTTAATCTCTGAGATGGCAAGATTCTAAAAATTTCAGTTGGAAGTCAAATTACTATGCAAAAAAATACATGGAGTAATGTACAAATGGACGTCTAGAGTTTGGATAAACTTACCATCCATGTTGTTCGTCATTGGCAATATGGAAATCAAAGTACACATATGTCCCCTGTTCGAAATCATCTGTGGCCACTTTTGGCTCCTCGTGTCGTTGGAACCATATGTTGTACTTTCTGTGGTATCTCCAAGACTGCTTCTTCAATTCCTTAGCAGCCAGATATTGCTGGTAAGTATTCTGCATACATTAGTTAAATGAGAACAAAATCATTGAAACTACTAAGAATTTCAGACACAATGAGAAATGAAAGACTTTCGAAAACAAAAAAATAAATAAAAATTAAAGGAAAAAAAAAGGAAAAGAACCTGCTGGTAGTAAAATGCAAAAAACAAAGTATCAGTGCCATAAGCATCGGATCCAAGGCGTTCCCAGAAAGCAGGATTATTCACAATAGGTGCCTGTACTTGAGGAAAGCTTGAGGGGGTAACTGCTGGGTGTCTCTGTATATAGCAGAAGAAAACAGTGGATGATTTGGTGAAGAAGAAAATCAACAAATAACAAAATTTGGCAAGATCAAATTTCATACTGGGGTATAGGTCTTTGCACGCTCAGAATCTTTGGGTTGAGGAAGTTTATAGTAAGCAGCTTCCAGCATCTGCAAATTGTATAACTGATCATGAAATCCTCCAGGATTTGCAGCTGATGCAGAGACGCTATCACCAATGGCACCAAGGTCAGAGACTCCTCTTCGACCAATAACACCAAGACTTCCAGAAGGTGGATTGGATTGCAAAGGTTGCCCTGGAGAAAGATCAGTATCCCTCATCACCTGAGACGTTTCAACAAGTGAGCCAGTAACTCCAGCTTGCTGCATAAATAGCAACAGTTTAGTTGATTGCATCAATGTCTCACAGAAAAATATCTCTCGACGGTTGTAGATGTAAACTAAAGATGTTTAAATGTACAGGTGCATCCAATGCATAAGAAGGTTTCAAATCATCCTCTTGCATAAGATTCTTTCCAAGCCCAGAGTTTGAACCAGATTCTGCTGCTGAATCTTCAGAAATAGCTTGTTGCTCCTGCAACTCCTCAACTTTTGTGAGGCCTGAGTCTGCACAGTTACAAACAACATCCCATAATCAAGAAGTTGTAATGAATAAATAGCCCTCCAAAACAATTTATCGTATACAGCGGTCTCATAAACAATCACGTTGAACTCTACCCATATCAGACAATGGAAAATGTTTTAAACATAGCTTGGGATTTGTGCCCCAAATTTCCTTTTAGTGATGAATCTCCAAAGAATGGGCAACACTTCCACTTCTAATGCTTGATATAATAAGATATCTTGATGGAAAATGAACTAAGAGCAATGAGAAGTATTATATAAATGATATGACATATACTTGAATACTCCCTTCACGGAAAGTTTTACATCATACCAAGCTTAAGTTCCTGATCAGGCTTTTTTTTCCAGAAATATAAGAAGAAATCATGCAATTGTATAATTATAGCATTTAAAAGAATTCGAAAGACGTGGGCTGTCGAGAAGTTATAAAGTTTTCATGGAGTTTCGAAATTCAATACCGTAGATCAAAGATTTAGTCTAAAAATTAGCTGAAGATACAAACAACAGTCCTGTCTCTCAAAATAAGTTAACTTCTGGACTTCAAGAAGTGACCAAAAATAGACATTTACATGTTAAGTATTGTGCTTTTATCACATTTGCCTTTCCCTAAGAACAAAGAATATACTCATTTTCCATTCAAAGCTTGAATTTCAAGATTGCAGTTAAAAGGTACTACCAAATTGTCTTTGATTTCTCAAGTGGGATTTCACTTCTCTTCGACAGCGGCGGCAGTTGGTTTGGTTATCAAAATGGGGGAAGGAACAAAATTGGCCACGGGCTAACATACTTCAAATCTAAAAATTGATTTAACTCAATATTCTAAGCTTTGGCATGTTAAGTGCCATATGGATACGAGTAACATGAACTCAACAAATTATCAAAAATTACCAGCCTCCCTAGATACTGTAGATATAGGCGCCTGTTGATTAGATTGTTGATGGATTGCAGTTGGCTGCTGCTGCACTGAAGCAGGTGATATAACATTGTTAAGACCTGCAGCTTGGACGCCGACTCCCAACCCAAGCTGAGGAGCGACAGACGAGCCTTGAGAAGTGAACTGAAATTATTGCATCATGTCAACCACATATTTCATGCATCAAGAAAGCCAATATAAAAGAAATCAAGCATGTTTGGCAAAGTTTAATTATAATTTAAGCTAGCCAAACATTTTTTACCCACAAATTACTACCCATTTATTATACACACATTCCAGTAAGAACCACAGCTTATAAGCATTTAAAATGCATTACCAAACAAGCACTTTGTTCTAAGCAAATGTGCCACACCAAATCTTCTTCAGTCTTTACAATATCGACTTTTATGTTTTTGAAAAATTATTGGGAGTCATTAAAAACAATTGCAATAAACAATTCCATGAAATATAATAGTCCATTTAAAAGATATTAGAGGATGAGTACGGAATTTAACCAATTGTATGAGCGCATGTAAAAGTGAAAAAAGTGGTAATGAAAATTCCTACCTTTGAAACTATAAAGGAACACATAATCCTAAGTGTGTGTGTGTGTGTGTGTGCGCTTGAGGGAGCAATGTTCCATCATAAAATATCTAAGGAATAACCTTCAAGATTCATGAATTCATCCCAAAAGATCAAATATCATCCAACCTCGAATAAAATTGTTTGGCTAAACACACATAAAACTAGCTACAGAAGAGAAGGAAGAAAAACAAATAACGAAATGCAAATGACAGTTAAAAGGCAGGAAGCTTCAGGAAGGAACCCAGAAAAGAGCACCTGCTGCAAGAGTGGGTTCTGTTGCTGAGTGGCATACTGCTTTCCTCCAGCAAGAGAAGGCATCCCAAGAAGATTTGTCTGACTTTGCTGCTGTACCTGCTGATATCTTTGTAAAAACTTCTCCCTCTGGTCAGGAGCAATCTCAGTTCTGCCACGGAGCTGCCCCTGAAAATCCAGAGAGATATAATTAATACTATTCCATATGAATGGATTGCAGAAAACAGATAATATTAAAATATATGCTTCAGAACATCCCTTCCCCATGAGATTAAAGATGCACAAAACATGCAGCAAAACAAAGCATTCCCTAAGAAGTAAACGACCATAATTCTTGATAATGTACCATTAATGGTACAATTCTTACCACAGCACTAAGTTTTTCCGATTCTTCGATAAAATAAAAAAGAGGGGTGTGTGTGTGAGAGAGAGAGTAAGAGTAGCACATACTGCTTCATTCTGGTTCTGAAAGGAACTTCCAGGCCTCCATTGTATGCCAGGAACTCCAGACGGAGAAAAAACCCTGCCACCCATAACTCCACCCTCACTAACATTACCAGTCTCTGCCGAGCCCAGTCCATCATTAGCTTTGGCAGCTTGTGGCAAGATTATTCTGTTACTGACAGGGGAAACAACAGACTGCATCATGCTTCCGTTCCCCAATCTTTCATCAGGACCTAATATATTTCTTTTCCCTATTTCAGAAGCTGAAGGGAAAGTACCAAGGGCCCCACTGCTGGAAATTGTACTGCCAGAACTACTTGGGATAGTTGAAGGTTGGCTGGATAGAGCAGCTCTACTAAGACCCCTTAATCCAGTTTCAGCAAGAGCAATGGATGATTTATGAGCAGGGAAGGTTTCCTCTTCCTCTACCACACTTGACATGGTCACTGCAGATGAATCTACAACCACACCTGCAACTTTTAGAGCAACTTAACGAATCAGGAGTGAAAGAATAACAAAGGAGCTAATTCATCAGCTAAGATATAGTTGAGCCAGTTCAGTACCAGGATCAACATGGCTTGCTAATGGCGTTTGTGGTGCAGAAGGAATGAGTCCACTATTACTAGGAGGTGGGGTTCTTGCAACTGTATAAGAGTTACTCTCCTGGGAAGCTGTTTCATCTCCTAGTTCCTGGACAGAAGCACCCTGTTGGATTGTAGTAACTATGGCCTAGAGATAGCATCAAGTGATGCTACATGTCAGATACATCAACTAAATGCACAAGCACTCAGAAAAGCAAAAAAGAGTTAATAATTAAGCAGAAGCAACTTGGTAGTTCATTGTTGCATAATGATGCAGAAGCAACTTGGTTTATGTTAAGGTATGCCCCTACTACAATATATTTCATGTTGCACTGCGAAACTAATTCATATGCTGCTAAGCTGGTTTGTTTGCCTCTCAATAAAATAATTTCTCCTCTCTATTTGATCCACCAAAACAGAGTTGGAAAGAAGAGCTATATTAATGTATATCAGCCAAGGAGAAAGAGGAGTGAAACCAACCAAGGTAGTAAGGATAAAAACCAAACAATTTTATTCCATAATGATGAGAACGAAAGAAGACAAATTATAAACAAAAATTTAACAGAATGTTTAGAGTGAATCTTGAGGAACCACGACAATTCTGAGACGAAGAAGAAAATAAAGACGTAGAAAGTAATTCATCCAAATGGAGTCTCTAAGCTAGTATGGGAAGTATGTAGACAAGACGGGTATCTTAGGACTGACTACATTATTAAATGAGATCGTGAAGAGAAAATGATGCCTAACAAACGGAACATGGGAACTATAATGCCTATGTACAAGAATAACGGATATATTCAAGACTACATAAACTATGAAGATGCTAAGCTCATTAGTCAAACAATAAAATAGCAAACGATGGTTACTAAGCATAGATTGATGTGTAATTTAATGTCTTAGGGAACCAGTTTTCTTTTATGCCTGAGAGATCTACAATGGAAGTCATTTACCTACTCCATATACTGATGGGAAAACGGAAAAGAACTAAGATTTAAATATAATTCTTGTCCGTTTAGAAAAAGCTCAGACAACCAAGATCTTCAGTAAGCCCTCAAAGAATAAATCTCTATTACACGCCACAATTGGTAGGGGAAAAAACCCACAACCGATATACAAATATAAAGGATGTGTAAAACGGAATAGTCATGAGTGAGAGATTTAGTAGGGTAGAAGCATAGAACTCCATTACTATAACAAATTTTGTTCAAATGTTTTTGTGAACAAAATAACTCGAGTGGGTTTTAAGATTTATGTTAGTTATATTTCCAAAATATATAAATGCCTCAATTTTTCTCGATTCCTTCGTTTGTTTCTCTCAATCATTATATTTTTCTATTTAAAGTTTTAGTTCTTAATCATTATATTTCTATTTAAAGTGCTTCCTAAGCAGTCTGCTAACTCGTTCTGAAAAATAACTGAATTGTATGAGTTTTTCCTGATCAGCCAGCACATGCATCACAGAGCTGAACATGACAATCTCCAGCTCAGCTTCGATAAGTTTGCATGTGTCTGAAAACTGTTCCAGTAGGCACCTCAAAAAAATAGTTAATGCCTGCTATAACGGTTCAAGACAAGTTGATATGTAACACAAAAATTTCTCTTGGTGTCTTAGAACCAATAGTTTCTTAAGGTTTTGGATGGAAAAACACTAAGGGAATCTTCTTCTCCTCCATCCCCAGAAAAATCTACAGAGAGAGATCCAAAATTTTGGCGAAAAGTATTAACGGATCTGATCTAATCGATGGTCAACCTAACATTGGGGTAAAGAAAGAACATACTGAAGCTTGAGCAGATGTTGCAGCCAAAGAATTTTTCGTGTTTAAAACTGCACTGGAGGCACTAATACCCTGCCAACAGGAAAAAAAAAATGGAATTACAGTTTCTACTCCAACTTAGTCTTATCATCTCATAGGAAAGACAAAATATACCGGTGTTCAAGACAGCACACATCTCACATGCAAAACCTTGATAGGAGAAAAGGGAGAGAAAAAAAGGCACTTTCAGGAATCATAATGGAATAGCTTAAAGGTTTTCACCTAGCCTTCTACCCTTGCACTTGGTCACTGTGCGTGAAAAGTTCACACGACTTGGTATCAAAAAGAAAAAAACCATGTCTCTTCAAGATAATGGCAACACACTCACAATTTCAAAAACCAATAATTCTTTTAAATTGCTAACTACAACATACACATAACTATGCTATATTAGTAAACCATGGTTAGTAGTAACTCCTAATATTTGATTTGAAATGTTTCTGCACGTGACTGACAATTAAGAATACCATATATCCCAAAAAATTTATTGCCAAAAAGCATATGTAGAACTAAATAAAAAGCAACTTCACACAAAAAAGAACAAAAACGAGAGTGACATATGGGAGAATTAGTTCACCTTTGAGAGAGCAGGGATACCAATTGGACCTAGCTCTTCAAGAGACTCCACCTTGTCTAAAGGTAGAGAACTGTAAAGATCATCAACATCATTGAATTCATCAAAATCCTCCTACAAAATTATACCCAAAAGAAAGACAGATCAATATGTGCAAATCAAAAAAAAAAAAAAAAAAAGAAAAACAGAATAAATACATTTTAGGAAAATCCAAAGAAAGGGGCAATACAAATCTGCTCTCCTAATTTTTTTACATTTCATTCAAAATCACAATTGTGTCACTCTGCATCATTCAAAAAATCACAATCACAATAACAGGATAAGGAATCAAATAATATTGATAAAATTTGTCATCTATCGATGGATGGTTAAGAAAGCAATTTCTTAATATGAAAGACCTGATTCCGTTCAACGTAGTCATCCAAAAAATCCCTAACATCATTGACTTGCTCCGGACTCAATTCATCGTTGTCTAGTAGCCTCAAAATCAGTTCTAGCTTCTGTATATGAGCCTTATGCCGGGTAATGGATGTCTCCAAATGCGTCTGTGAACAAAAAAATTTTGTAAGCTACAGTAAGCACACAACAGCTCACTGGCACAAATATCTTATTCCTTCCTGTTATACCAGTCTGGGAGGCCTTGTTTTCCCTTTCTTAACAGAAAGACCCTCTATTTCAGCTTCAAAGCTATCAATTTGATTTTCCAGCTCCCCAACCTACTCAATAGGAAAATAACGACTTGAAAATAATTATGTCGAGATTAGCTTATTGTAAATAGCTAAAATTATATATTATGAAATGCTAGAAATATATAAATAGTTAAACAGAAAGATCTAGCTACTGAGAATAAAGCGATACCCATAGGCTGAATTAGCCATTCCAATCAAACAAGAAATGCTATGGTTAGCATAGGGAACAAATTGGGACCTATTAGGCTTCCCTGCTCATCTTAACTTCTAGAATTCAAACCACAAAAGATTGCATTGGTTCTCAAACAACTAATTATTTAGATTTATGAAAGACTTTAAATAAGCAAAAAGCAAAGAGGAGAAAAAAAGGATGTAAAAGGAAACAGCAAGTGAAATACTTCCATACTCTACATGACTCCAGATCAAGCAACTCAACAAAAAGAAACAGTAAGCAAAGTCTCAGGTGCATACCACATTGTTCAACCAATCTCTTGTCTCTGATTTAGCCTTTTCCTTAGGATCCTAGTGCACAAGGAAAAAATTAATATAAACACTACCTAAAATTATAACTAGAAGAGACGATAAAAATTTATCACACAATTCTAAGAAGCATGGATACAGATACATAATTCAGATACGATACAATACATACACGCCGATAAGAATTTTTTGAAAAAATTAGGATACGCCGATATGTTTTATAAAATTCAACATAATTTTATTAATATAAAGAAAAGTAATACAGAAGCATAGCAATTAAAAAAAAAAAAAAATACTAAAGTACTCTACCAACACGGGCTTACATATATTAAATCATTATCTATTTTGAATAATAGAATCAGCATAACACAATTTTAAATGTATTACTTAATACTAATCACTATCTATTTTCAATTAGAAAAATATATTTGTCAACTATAACACGGTTTCATATGTATTGCAAGATTAATAATATTGTGCATTTTCCAACAAAAAGGTCTAGTTAATTTTAAAACTCTAATTGTTTATTTTCAATAAATATTATTGATAATCAATAAGTTATTAAAATAATTTAAAAAATACATATCTGATACGTGTTGAAAATCATGCAATTTATGTATCGGATACGTATCGAAAATTAAAAATATATATAAAATAATCAAAAAAAAAAAAAAAAGTATCCGGTGTACGTATTGAAGGGTATCAGAGAGCATCAAAACTTGGATACATATCAAATACGGGTACGTAATGAGTTTATAAAAGTATCGGTGCTTCTTAGAAGCAGTTACAAGCTTTAAACTTTCCTTAACAAAACTGCAAAACAGATAATACAAACAAAACAAAACGGAAGTTAAAACAATATAGAACAAAAAAATTCTCATTTCTACCTTCACCATTGCGATGTGAACAATGTATCTGTTCATTGATTATCACAAGCACTAATATTAACATGAGTTTAAAGAACACATCTAGTGGCATGCTATAGACAAACGTAACACTTACACACTAAAAGATTGCTATTTTAATGAGTTTTTATACACAAGACTCCAAAATCTACTAAAACATAGGAAATCCATAATGGTGAACATTATAGAGCGTGGGGATTGTCGAAAACAGCAAAAAGACAGCGTAATGCCTACCACTTTAGTTGATACTGCCTATCTAAACTTGCACAATCAAATATTGCTCCTTGGTGGGTCTTAATTCACATAATTCCAAAATCTTCTAAAATAGAGGAAATCCTTAAAGTCGATCATAGAAATAGGGAATTGTCAAAAACAGGAAAAGAGCAGTGTAATGCCTACCGTTTTAGGTTGCTGGCCAAGGCCTTCTTTTGAGAATGCTTTCGTCTTAGTTTCCTTTTCACATATCTTAAATCTTTCCATTTCACGCTCAATAACCTTGCGAGCATCCATCAGAGCCTGATCATAAGAGGCACTAACCTATGTCAACATGTATCAGAAGAAATCCATTGTCAACCTCAGAGTGATGGCATTAAACAAGTGCATAAACTTTGTAGATTATTTCAGAAATTTTGCAAAAATTCAGTTCAGATGATGATATTATTGAAAGAAAAGGGAAAAGAGCACCTGGTGAAAAAGATATGCCAAAAGGAGTAACGGAAAGATACTAAAAATGTGTGTCAACAACTAAGCAAAATATGAGCTCAGAGCTTAATTTTATAAACAAAATGCGTTAAGCCCGAATACTCAATACACATGCTGAATCAATGCTGTGGATCAAAACATGAGATGAAATGGAATTGATCGATTAAATAGTTCTATATACCTCTGAGTTTACAACTAGAAGTAGACAGGCATACAGATTTTACAGCTAAACAAAATATAAAACGCTTAAACCTGATAAACTCAAAATGAGTGTTGAATCAAGGATGTGTATCAGAAAATTACTGCCGTTTATGGTATAGATGAAGTGAGGATAATCACTTAGATATGTCACTTGCTCAACTTCTCACTCACAAATGCCCTGCTACCACTTGCATAAGCCACTCGACAAATGCTAAAAGACGAAACTCAGTTAAAAAACATGACCACTAGCTTCTATAACATTCGCTACAGATACGCAAGCACAGATTCTTGGGTTGGAGTTATAATCTCTAGGATCCAACAGAACCATAAAATACAATTTTATATCTTCCAGATTATTTTTCTTATAAACTTCCATTGCAGCAGTATAAAAAGGATAAGCTGCTTTTAAGTAAATAAGTGAAGTTATGCGTGCTGGATAAGTTGCTTTGTAAGTATATCAAGCACATTTATGTTTAGCAATATATTAAATTAGAAGAAAAGTCAGTATAATAACTCACAGCACGCACAATCTTAATGACATGATTTACAAACTTTGGACACGATATCTCTTCCTTTGTGAACGAGTGGTACTGACCTTTATTCTTTAAACTTATAGTTTCAATAAACATTAAATCTATACAAAAGAATGACCCCACTCATTAGCAGCAAAAAATAAATAATTCAAAATTTAACAATGCAGCTGCAGTTATGTGACTCAAAAACTTTTATGTTCATGGACTAATTCCACAACATCAAATACACATCGTGAGATTGATGACTACCGAAATGAACTAAGCAAGTGGACTAATGTCATTTAGAAACAGGCCCTGAAAATTCAGAAAAGCAAAACGTAAATAAAAAAAAAATTCGGACAATGATTTTATGGTACTAGAAGAAAAATGCAGGGACAGAGTCAACAGTCGAGTGGACCTTCTTATCCTTGATCTCACTGGACTGTATCCATGTCTTAATCTGGTCTCTGTACCTCTGAAGCTTCTTTATTTCCTTCTTCAAGTCCGCCTCGAATTTCTCCTTCTGGTTCGCATTATCCGTATCGTAGACCTGATAACAAGCAAAGAAAAAAACAAACAATAAAAAAAAAAGAAAAAGAAAAAGAAAAAGAAGAATAGAGAGAGTATGAAAGAGAAGGCCGAAGGGACCTTGTTCCAAATACTATCGAAGAGGTCGACACCTTCTTGGACCTTCTTAAGAACGCGATCGATCTCTCCCTGTAGTTTCCGACTTGCACCCATTGCAAAATTCTATGAATGAAGTAGAAGAAAAACGAGAAATAATCATTCAAAAACCTGGGGTTTTTTAATTTGTTGCCAGTGAATCAGTGATCGTAAATTTCTCTGAAGTGTAGGGTTTTCGTGAAAGTAAAGACCACTGACGAGGCACATAGAGAGTGCTGTGCTGTGAATACGGGTTTCGCTCAGCCGGGTCGACCCGAACCATTGGGCCATACCGGGAAATCAAAAGAAGCCCACGATAAATTTAACGAAACTCTAGTATTAAAATCCTGAATTCTAAAGTTGGGGGAACTTTCACTTTTCAAAAATCAGATTTTTTTTTTTCAATTAATGTTTTTTAAAATAATTTTTTTACTAAATATATATACTCCAATACACAAAAACCCTAATTCATTTCAACACTCTCTCTACATTTTTCCCACAACAATCCAGTCGCCTCCCTCCATTCTCTCTACGCTGCCCGCTATCTTGAGAATTTCCGACGAACCACCCACCATTGAATTTTGTGTGATGGTGGTGATGATATTTGTGTGGTGGCGGTGTTGTGGTGGTGGCTGGAGGTGTCGAATATGGCGGTTATGGTGATGTTGGTGGATCTGAAGGTGAGGTGTGGAAGTGGTTTGCACGCACAAAGTGTTGTTAATGGTGGCTAAGCAAATCTATGACCTATGTGGGCGAAGTGGTGTTTTGTGTGTGTGGTGATGATGGTGTTTATATGTGTGGTGATGTGGTGGCTGATAGTGTCGGATATGGTGCTTGTCATGGTGGATAGTGCATCTGGTGGTGCGAAGTGGTGTTTTGTGAAGTGGTAGTAATGTTGTGTTCATTGTGTGGTGGTAGACCTAGTGGTTATGGTGATGGTGGTAGACCTGGTGGTGTAGTACGATGGTGGTACAAGTGGTTGATGGCAGGTGTGGTGCGGTAGTTTTGGTGGTTTTGGTTATTAAGAGTGTGGTGGTGACAGCTTCTATGTTTTGACAGTGGCGAAAGACGCCAGTGGTCGTGGTAGTGGATGCAGTGGTGATGGTGAGATGTTGATAGTCGTGATCTGTCGATGTGTATGTGTTGATTTTGTTTAAGATAGTGGTATTGTTGTCAGGTGATGGTGATGGTTTTGGCGATGGCTGGTGGTGCTATTGGAGACAGTGATTTTTTTGTGGTAGTTACGGATTAATTAGTTGATTATGACCATTAAATTGGTTAATTTGTGATCAATAAACAATATGTGACCAATAAAAATGATAAATTGTAATCAAGAAATAATGTGTGACTTAGAAAATTAATAATTTATGACTGTTTAATAAATTGTGGCATATAATTTTGTAATTTGTGACCTATAGATAAATTATGAAGTATAAATTTTTAATCTATGATCGATGAACAAACTGCGATTGATAATATTTTTGAATTGTGATCGTAAAATAAATTGTGACATTAAAATATTCTGATTTGTGATCGAAAAATAATATTTGGCTAATTAAATTGTAAATTTATGACTAAATTGTATAGATTTGTGACCTAATATGTTTAATTAATAAAATATATAATTAATTAAATTATATATAAATTTTAATGAATATTTGATTTTTGAAACTTTTATTATTACTTTTGAATTAAGCAATAGTCATCCTCTTACTTATGAAATTTTCCCAACCATATATTTTAGGATCCAATTTTAAAAATCAAATCTAAAGTTTCTTTATACAAAAATTAAATATTAATAATATTCAATATTCTCTATCTTTCACTCTAAATTATATCCACTCAAAACCATAAATCACAACCCATTTCTTCATGATCTCAGGCGACTTCGATGACTCCGACAACACCGACCGATGCAGTAGCACAGGACCTGGCACAATCCATTTATTCTTCTTCCTTTTTTTCTTTTAGTTTTTGAGCGATGTCGTGATTGACGGTTCGATAGTAGTGGGTGGGTGTGTATGGGTGCAATAGCGCTGTTGATGTGAATCCCGTAGCAACGTTGATTACGAAACCTACAACGAGATTGACGAACCCAAGAAAGCCAAATTAATCCAAAAGTTTAGGATTAATCCAAAAGAAAGTTGAACTAAAAAACTCGACAAGAACAACGATTGAAAGACCCTTTGATCACGCAATCCAAGAATTGAATCCGATTGTTTGAACGCCACAAGTTAACACTTGATAAGTTCGAAATTGTTCAAAGAAGAATGATGAAGAGAAGACAATACGCCTCACTTTAATTAAATATCAAAAATGTTAAAAGTTTTTAACAATTGAATGAAAATTCCTATTTATACTAAACCTAAAAACTAGGTAAAAATCGTGCAAAAGTCGAGCATAATCCCTAAAATATGGAAAAGAATCAAAAATTAACAAAATATGGAAAATTGCCAAAAATAGAAAATTCACCAAAATTTTTTGCATATGCGACCGCGACGTTCATTTCTATGCGGTCACATAGTTCAAGTATGTTTACCCCTTTGAGTTTTGGTAAGCCTCCATGCGACCGCAAGCCTCATAAGTTTATGCGGTCACATAGACTTATCATTTTCCTCTGTCTTCGGCCTTCGATATTAAATTAACCCAAGTTGATTTGGCCTTCGACCTGAACATGAAAATTGCTCCATTTTGAGTCCCGAACATGGTTCCATCAATGGTTTCTTGAATGAGTAATCCCATCACTTGTTTCACTAGCTTTGCCCTTGATCGCATCATTGGTCCGCCATCGACTATCAACGGGTCTCGTCTCGCACTTGCCTCCCGGGTCATATCACCCCCTCTCTCTTCAAAAGGATTCGTCCTCAAATCTGAACATGCATCAAACAGAGAGAGATCGGATACATTAAAAGTAGCCGGAACATTATATTCAGCTGGAAGGTCCAATTTGTATGCATTATCATTTATCTTTTCAATAACTTGAAATGGACCATCGTCCCTCGGTTGCAACTTGGACTTCCTTTGCTCCGGAAACCGCTCCTTCCTGAAGTGCACCCAAACCCAATCTCGTGGTTCGAATGTCACGCGCTTCCTACCTTTGTTCGCCTGCGACGCAACTAGCTTACCTTTGTTTTCAATTTATGCTTTTACCTTTTCATGAAATGACTTAACCAATTCCGCCTTCTTTTTGCCATCTAAACTACCACGTTCATTCACAGGTAAAGGAATTAAATCCAAAAGAGTTAGCGGATTAAAACCATATACAATTTCAAATGAAGAATATGACGTAATAGAGTGAATAGCTCGATTGTATGCAAATTCAACAAATGGTAGACACTTCTCCCAACTTTTCAAATTTTTATAGATTACTGTGCGCAACAATTGTGTCATGGTCCTATTCACCATCTCGATTTGCCCATTCGTTTGTGAGTGACAGGTTGTGGAAAATAGTAATTTAGTGCCTAACTTACCCCACAAAACTCTCCAAAAGTGACTTTAAAATTTGACATCCCGATTCGACACAATGCTTCTAGGAACTCCATGTAAACGCACAATCTCTTTAAAAAATAAGTCAGCAATGTTTGTGGCATCGTCTGTTTTGTGACATGATATAAAATGTGCCGTTTTGCTGACCCTATCTCGATGGACTTTGTTTTGGGTTTACCTAGGACTAAGAGAGGTCGGTTTACCTTGTCCCCGCAAGTGCTTTTGTGACTCATGATCGGTGTGTATTACGAACTCCTTCGGCCAAAGATAATACTGTTAAGTCTCCAAAACTCGAACAAGTGCATAAAGCTCTTTATCATATGTAGGATAATTTAAAGCAGCTCCACTCAATTTCTCGCTGAAATATGCTATAGGCCTCCGATCCTGCATTAAAACTGCTACAATCCCTATTCCTGATGTATCACACTCAATCTCGAATGTTTTGTCAAAATTAGGTAATGTTAAAACAGGTGCTTCACACAATCTACCTTTAATAGTATTAAATGCAAGTTCCTATTCATCACCCCAATGAAAACATACACTCTTTTTAACTACTTCCGTGAGTGGTGCGGTGATAGTGCTAAAATCTTTCACAAAACGCCGATAAAAACTAGCCAAACCATGAAAACTCCTAACTTCCATTATACTTTTATATGTCGGCCAATCTCTAATAGCTTTTATCTTTTCATCGTCTACTCCTACCCTATTAGCACTAACCACAAATCCAAAAAATATAACTTTATCCATACAAAACGTGCATTTCTTAAGATTGGCATAGAGTTGTTCTTTCCTTAAAACAATTAGTACACATTTTAAATGTTCCAAATGCTATTCTAGGTCTTTGCTATAAATTAAAATGTCAAAATAAATTACAACAAATTTTCCTATAAAAGCACGTAAAACATGATTCATTAAGCACATAAAAGTGTTGGGTGCATTTGTGAATCCAAACGGCATAACCAACCATTCATATAAACCATATTTAGTTTTAAAAGCCGTTTTCCATTCATCACCCTGCCGCATACGAATTTGATGATACCCGCTTTTTAAATCAATTTTAGAAAATATGCAAGCACCATGTAATTCATCAAGCATGTCATCTAACCTAGGTATAGGATGACGATACTTTACCGTTACATTGCTGATAGCTCTACAATCCACGCACATTCGCCATGTTTCATCTTTTTTTGGCACAAGCAAAACCGGTACCGCACAAGGACTCATGCTTTCCCTCACGTATTCTTTGCTCATCAACTCCTCCACCTGTTTTTTAAGCTCCTTAGTTTCATCAGGATTGCTTCGATAAGCCGGTTAATTTGGAATGACAGTTCCGGGTATGAAGTCAATTTGATGTTCAATGCCTCAAATAGGTAGCAATCCACTTGGTGCATCCTCCTAAAATACATCGTCGAATTCCTACAACAAAGACTTAGCCAAACTATGGAAGGGTGGGTTAGTTTCCTCAAAATTGAGGAGTGATTCCTTATAAACGAACAAGATCATTTCTTTTCTCTCAACTACTGTCCTCATCAAATCACTCTCTTTGCAAAAAAGTTCGCTCGTGTTTTCTCTCTTCTCTCGAAACACTCCACTTCTTTTCTCTCTTATGCTTGCTCTCTCTTTTTCTCTCTAGTGGCTATCTCAACATTTTCTCTCTTCTTCTCTAACTCACCACTTTCTCCCTCTTTTTTCTAACTCCTTGACTCTCCTCTCTTCCTCACTTCTAAATTTTAATTGGTTCTC